TCCCCCATTGTATTTCTTCCATAGCATTTTGCAGAGCCAAGCTGTCATTTCACAAATCAGGTAAAGTTTTATAGTAACTGGTGGCTGTTATTGCTCCAGTCTGTTTGCAATATGTTGAAGTTGTTTTGTATTTGAAGCCTGTGGGATTGCTTGCAGTGTGCAAGGCTGAGCATATAGGGGGCGGTTTGTTTGCTTTTCCAGGATCAGGGCTTTGCATTATAGTATCTGCCATTAAGGATCTTAAAATGTTTTACAAAGGTAAGTAAGGAATAACTTCACTTTGTAGTGCTGGAAATGAGGACAATCAAAGTTAAGTAACAAGGTGGCATTTCAGTTCAGCAAGTAGCAGAATTGGAAACTGTCTAGGAAATTTGGTTCTAGATAACAGCCTCTTTTTTAGGCAGAAATGTATACCTGTCTAGCATGAATGCAGTTCATAACGCCTCATTGTTCAGCCAAAAATAGCCTTTGCCCCTCTGTAAGGGCCCTTATGCTATACGTGTAGCTAGGATATTGAGAATATTGGGATTGTCATTACAGTGGACTGAGCACAGATCTGCAAACCAGGAGCACCAGGGCTCCCCTCTCAGCTCCAATGCTGGCTGAGCCCTTGGACACTTTGTTTTAGTATGCATGTGCATGTGTTCCCATCTGCAAAGGGTGGATGATGATCACCTGCCTTGCAGCAGTAGTGAAAATGAAATGTTTGAAGATGTGCAATGCTAAATGGTCTTGCAAAAAACCATGGACCCATTTAAAGGTTGCTTATTATACAGTATTACCAAACTGTGTCAAACCAGTTTAGGCACCATGCAAGGTCACTACGACTTTCAGCCTCTCTCTGCTTCTTGCATCTGTGTCTGATATACTACTTTTTATCTCTGTCTGCCTTGTATATTAGCCGAACTACTTCATACTATTTTGAGCCACATTACTGTACATTGTCACATACTATACTGTTTTTAAATTGGATGACATGGTAGTTTGTTGCTTGCAGTCTCTACTTACATTGTTTAGATAGTGTTGATTGTTTTTAAATGATGTTATGTATCCTAGTGACAGTGTGCCTAATTTGAGTTACTCTGTGTTAGCTATACAATTTATTAAAGCACTTGATAACTTCAGTGTTGTAGAGGGTTAGCCATTATTTTGGTTACCAAACCCCAACTTTTTGTGTTGGAAATTTGGAATTTGGCCTAAGTCTGAATAGTTTGTTCCTGGTGTATGGGGAGTATGATTTTTTTTCTTCTTAAATACACCGTTTCAGCTTCTGTAGGCTGTATTTTACCATGTGGGTTTTTTGGGGGTTTTTTTTGGCTTGCTTGACTGGTATCTTTGATCTTAGGTAGATGCAGTTTATTTGTCAAAACAGTTTTTTTTTCTTGAATGTTGACTTCCTTAAAATGCAGTGCTGCTTATAAAACTTATTAAAATAAGGATTTGTAAAAGTAAAAAAAACCCTGCAAGGATTGGAAATGTAGGCAATGTATCTTAATTTGAAGAGACTTACTGAAATTCTTTCCAAAGCCTCATTTTCAGAATAACAACCTGAGGCACATCCTTAAAGTGACTTGCTTAAAGAAGCACAGTGATATTTAACATAAATAGGAGTAGGCTCCACATCTTGTATTGCCCAGTCTCATGCTTCTCTGTACACGTGTCTTCCCAGTGTGGTATACCCATATGCTGAGAGAGCGTACCTGCTCCCTATTGCTTAGTCCCATGCCTATGTGCACGTCTCCTCCCAGTGTGACACATCCGTATGCTGGGCAAACATGCCTGTGCACAATGTCCTTATTACATAGCAAAACTTGAAATACTCCATCTCCTTTCCCAGCACCAAAAACGGCAGTGACTGCAGTCTGCAGATTAGAGCTCCTTAAATGCCACACCAGAGGATAACAACTTTGAAGGAGCTGTAATAGACTGGTCTTGACAATCCATGGAGTAAAGCAGTGGTGCTCTCAACCTTTTGACATGGTTTGGCACCATGGCCTGACCCCCATGCACCAGGATTGGGCCCTGCAGCTATCAGTCTGACTCCATGCTACCCCAACCCCAAGTGCCAGGTTTAATGTTGAGGGTCATGCCCGCTGAGCTCCCCACAGATCTGGAAATTTGGCAGCAGAGGAGCAGCAATTAATGCTGCCACTGCTCCCCGGCAGTCAAAGTTTTGGACTCATGGGAAGCCTTGCAAGCCCACCTTTGCAAGTCAGATCTGGCCTGATGGTCGGGGGAGTGTGGACCCATGGTATGAAGGACTGTTCCATATTACCCTTGTGTTGGTGGTTTCCATGCTGCTCTTTAATGGCGTGAAACATGGAGAAGAGAAGGGCTGAAGGCAGGGCGTAAGTTCTAGTAATGACTTTATCTTTCTTTTTCATCCTCTTTGCCTTCCCCCAACCATCTTTCCTGCCTTCCTTTTCTTCTGTATCAAGTTAAAATTCCTTGACCTTTTTTAAAGCTCTGCATAACTCAGCCTTTCTAACTGTATACCAGTGCATGTGGCACTGTCTGTTAGGGATGTGCGAAGCGGGCTGTATTTGATTCGGATTCAGCCTGATTCAGGGGACAGTGATTCGATTCACTGATTTGGATCACTGTCCCGATTCGATCCAGCTGAATCTGAAGATTCAAGTCTGATTTGGAGAATCAGTGATTCAGCCATAGACACAGCTTTATATGTTTTTTTTTTTTTTTTCCCTACATACCTCGAGGTACCAGGCGCAGCTCTTGAATGCTGAGATGGTGGGGTGGATGGAGCATCCCACAGAGCACAGGGGCAGGTCTGCTGCTGAGCATCCAGGGGACCCCCCCCCTGCATCCTCCCGACTCAATGATTGGCTGTGGGGAGACCCCAGTTATTGCCCCAGATCCAGGAGGCACCAGTTGCTGAGCCGGGGCGGGGCAGGGGGGTCCCCCATGCACTCCACGGCAGACCCGGAAGTGGACTGGAAGTACTTCTGGTCCACATCTGGGTCCACCAGGGAGCACACAGAAGTGTGCTCCATCCACCCCACCATCTCGGTGTTCTCGAGCCTCCTGGTACCTTGAGGTACATAGAAAAAACATATAAAGCTGTGTCTATGACTGAATCATCGAATCTCTCCAAGAGAAATTAATATGTCTTCGGATTCGGAGGTTCAGCTGCCAAATCGGGCAGAATCTCCTCCAAATCGAATTGGCAACCGAGGCTTCACACAGGCTTACTGTCTATCCCCTGATGATCACCATCAATTTACCTTTTCTGTTTTCATTCCAAGTGTTAACTTGTATGTGTAGACAGGGTTATTTATATAAGGTCTTTAATGTAAATTGTGATTGTGCATTTGTGTATTTGAAAAAGTCGGTGTTTATTTACAAGTGTAGGGAGGGGATGAGCGTAGAACTTAAGTGCTGCTGTGATGGAGGATGTTAGAAATACGTGGAGAAATAACTGTGGATATCAGATACATTTTTCCTTATTTCGAGAAATCATTTCTCCCAAAAATACAAGGAACTTCGGGTGGTTAGTTCTTATTAATTATATTACTGATTTTTAAATATATCCACATGAGAAAGTATAGACTATTTTTCCCCATATTGGTTACAGTTAATGGCATTTTTAACTGACTGCTTCAAAGGAATGAGTTGAGCAATTAAAATTTCAAACCAAATAATTGCTGATGGCAAACATTGTCTACCAACCTTTCCAGTTTTTACACAAATTTAAAACCCCAAAACAAATTGCCAAATGGTTTGCAAAGTTGCATGCCTCTTGTATATTAATATGTGATCTATATGATGATGTGATAACTTCCTCCACTTCTCTCTTTCTCACTGCAAGTGTTGTCCTTTATGAGCAACACTTAGCAAAATGTTATATCAAGTGCAGTCTTTTGCAGTGTCATTCTTATTCTACATGATACCCTGTTTGTGTCGCATTTTATTGTCATCCCCACACTTAAGGGCAGCATGTATTATTCTGTGCCGGCAGCTTTTAAAACTCGGAGCAATTCTTCTATTCATGCAGTGCTGTTCTATTCAAGATGCTGTTTTCTAATGTCTAGAACAAGGGGCCATGGAGTCAAGAATTTGAATTCTGAGTCTGTTCATATTTCTGCCATTGATTTGCAGGGACCTTGGGCAAATTGCCTAATCATACTGTGTATCTGTGCTCACTTTTACAAAATTGAGATGATACATACCTGAGCAGTTTTTGAAGCTTAACTTTTTGTAAATTGCTTTGAATGTTCATAAGACTTTTCTCTTGGATAGCAATTTCTTACAGCCCGAACAGTTTCCTAGTGCATAATTTTTGTCAGAATGAAATATGTTAGTTTCTGTTTATCTAACCGGATAGTTTCTCTCCTTCCTTTTCAGAGTTCAGACAGGTGAATCTAAGGTCTACAAAAAATGAGATGATATGCTGTACTGTGGACAGGAGGCAGTTTTCAAATTGATTTCTTTTCCTATATAAAAGTATTCATCTCAAAGAAAAGTGTAGCAGGAAAATATGATTTATTGGCAAATAATTTGACTGTTTCCTCTCTGAACAGATTCCTGCTGGAAACCCTGGAACATAAAGAGTTGCTTTTGGCAGACAATGCTAAGAGACACTATGAAGTCCTGGAGCGACGGCCAGTCAGACCTTTACAGCAGTGATCAGGAAGAGGAAGAAGAGATGATCTTTGGTGAAAATGAAGATGATTTGGAAGAGATGATGGATTTAAGTGACTTGCCTACCTCATTGTTTGCCTGCAGCGTGCATGAAGCTGTGTTTGAGGCACAAGGGGAGAAGGTAAGGGTCCTTGTGAAGTATAATGAGTTCTATGAATATTGTTCTAGCTAGGAGTGTGCCTTGTGTAGATTTGCCAAGTGATACTACTTGATTTAATGGGGAAAAAAATGAAAACATTTGCCAGTACAACCAAATTGGAATTGGTGCTGCTACCAGGTAGCAGGTAAGAGTAAGTCTCTGGCATGCAGAGTGGTAGTATGGCTGTGACACTTTTCACAGTATGTCTGTGTGCTACTCTTCTGAGCAGGATTTAATATTTAAATCTGGGATGAAAACCATTGTTAAATACTGTGGTATTTGTTCTCAATAGTCATTGGCTGATCTCAATAATCAGTGGTATTTTTGGAAGTGGTTTGCAATTTTTGCTTCAGAGCAAGTCTTTTTCTGAACCACTAACATTTTTATTAATCAGATTTGTAGTTCTTTTTTGTTTCCATTGGCTGTCGGGAAGTATGACTTAAAAAAAAAAAATGCCCCGGCGCGCGTGCGCGCCCCCCCCCCCCCCCCCAAAAAAAAAA